AGCATCATAGGAGCAGAGAGGCCTCTCTGCTCCTATGATGCTGCTTGGCCTGCTGTGTTCATCCAGCCCTGCACCTTGTTGTCTCATGTAAATGTTATTGTTACTTATGCTACTGCCAACTTTTGTTAAGTTATTTGTGGAGGATTCCTTTGGTTATAGTTTCCCTTTTCCACTTGTCATTTGTCACCTCGTGTTGGATAAATTAGGTGACCAATCTCCATAAAGCCCTTGCTACCATTAACTTTAGCCTCGTCGAGCTTCGTCATTTAGGGAATTAATGATCTTCAACCTGTTTTCTTTCACATGTACTGTCTCTACCAAATCTTGCACTTAACTTCAGTACGTTAGTTCAATAAATTAATGGAGTTCTCAAATAAAGCTTTACCTTTTAATCATTGACATTTTTAAATATCTACAGGCAAACTTACAATCAACATTGTGGATGCCAATGACAACAGACCTGTGTTTCTTGCCTTGGAAAGAGTATCTGGTAGGTCATCTTATTTTGAAATAACGTTGTACAACATTACTAAGAGCCAATCAATATATTTGTCTCAAGCTATGCTTTACTTTATAAGAAAGTTGTTGACCCATTCATTTTACTGCCACCGTAAACACTTTAAGGCATTATCATCAAAATTGGTGTTGTCAATAACGGTCCCCAACCTGGCTAGACTTATAGTTTTAATACTTTTGCTTATGTTACTATTGAATCAACTATCTCCTGCTTCTCGCTGGGAATGTTACTGGTTGCAGGTTGCTCAGGCTGCTTGAGGCAGGCAGACTGATTTAAGAGAATGTTAATTTGTGCAGTGATTTGCAGCACTTCCTACAAATCGACTGAATTCTACAAAAGGTGTTAATTACAACCATATGTTACTGCTGTATGACTAACGATGACACAAAATAATACACAGGATCTTCTCCTAATTCAGTAGCAGATAATATTAATTTGGACTTGTCTTTTATTTAACGTCTAACAGGTAAAGTTTGAAAGTAATTTTCACTTGGTGAAAAGGTGGTGGTACCTATTATCCACTCTCTCAAAATTTCCTTTCCACTGAAATAAATCAAATGGAAATTGTGTGCCATCTATATCAGGCAGCCAATCTGCTATAGCCAGTTTTTGGTAGTCCCTGGGAATAAATTATTCTCTTTCTCTTTAGTGTTTCAGGTACAGAAATGTTCAAATATTTATTGTTACATTTCAGATATTTTCGTTCTTGAGATGTGGACATTACTGGTGAAAGAATGCTTATTTCCATGTTTAGTTGCCCTGAAGGCATTAATACTCAATAGTTTTCACAAAACTCCAACCGCCTTCATGGTCATTTTTCTGCTGGGAGCCCAGGTTGCACAAAATAGGACTAATTATCACTAGGTTTGGGTGGCATTAGTAACAGTTTCAATCTCAGAAGGAGATCGGTAGTATTACTGCTTGATTAATGCAGACAAATGCGTTTGGTTCCATTTTGAAAAGGGCTACCTCCAAGTGTCCATTGCACCTACCTAGTTCAAGTGATGGGTCTCAGAGCAACAGGCATGATCTTCTGTGTTGCAAAGATGTCATCTGTACTGTTGCCACATTCAAAGTCATCCCCATTCCAAACTGTATTTATGCCCAGCCTGATTTTCAGACCTTAATCGGTAGGCCGCATTGGGACATCAGTTTGTCATGCAGTAACAGGCCTACCAAAGTTTATGACAGGGGAGACCTCAAATGTGTAGCAGTCACTTTGATGCAGAAATGGGCAGATGACCTATGAACTCACTTGTTGGTCACCCACAAATGCCAGAAGCAAACCTGGAGACTGTAATGTCTGATGTCACCAAGAAATAGGTGATTTCACTTGAAATTATATGAAACTGTTTTGACGCGTAATAACAATCGAATAATCTTGCATTTCAGTTATCGTGCCAGAATTAGCACCAATTTCTGCTGAAGTTGCAACAGTTAAGGTACGTCAAAATTACTATAAATGCAAGTTTTTCTTTGTGATGTACTGAGTAGTAATAAACATCAGTGTCAGTGTTGAACTGAGACTCCACTTGCATTGGATGCATCATTTGCAAGACTTATGCAGATATATGACTTTCTTGGGTGCTCATAGTGTTCACCTCTTCCTTCTGTTTAATTCCTACCAAGACCAAACTTGTATAAGCAACAAACATACTCTAGAACTAACCTAATACAATTATCAAACCTGCAGCAGTGAGTGTTCAATTTGTTAAATTGAAAGGCAAAATAGCCAAATAAATTATTTCTGATTTTGAGATCACTCTAATCAGAAGAAACCGTGCCCATTTTCATTGAGAAAGAGATGTTGGCCAGGGAGCAGGGTTATGTGTTAAAGTGGCGGGAAACGGGTAGTTCAGGGTCTTTTTTGCGAGCAGAATGTAGATGTTCTGCAAAGCGGTTGCCAAGTCTATGCTTCATTTCCCCAATGTAGAGGAGACCACATTGTGAGCAGCGAATGCAGTAGACTAGATTCTGGGAAGTGCAGGTGAAGTGTTGCTTCACCTGGAAGGTATGTTTGGGCCCTTGTATACTGGGGAGGGAGGAAGTAAATGGGCAGATGTTGCACCTTTGCTGGTTACAGTGGAAAATGCTGTAGGGCTATGGGGAGGTGTTGGGGGTGGAGGAAGTGTGGACCAGGGTGTCCCAGAGGGAACGGTCCCTGCAGAAGGCGGACAAGGGTGGGGAGGGGAATATGTGTCCAGTGGTGGCATCTCACTGGAGGTGACGGAAGTGGTGTTTGATGATCTTCTGAATGTGGTTGCTGGTGGGATGGTAGGTGAGGATAAAGGGAACCCTATCGCTGTTGAGGAAGGGAAGAGAAGGGGTGAGGGCAGAAGTGTGAGAGATGGATCAGACCTGGTTGAGGGCCCTGTCAACAACGGAGCTGAGGAATCCTCGGTTGAGGAAGAAGGTAGACATTTCGGAGGCTCCCCTCTCGAAGTTGGCCTCGTCTGAACATATCCGATGGAGACGGTGGAATGGAGAGAATGGGATGGAGTCTTTACAGGAAGTGGAGTGTGAGGATGTATAGTCCAGGTAGCTGTGGGAGTCAGTGGGTGTGTAATGGATATTAGTGGCCAGTCCATCCCCAGAAAGGGAAACAGAAATGTTGAGGAAGGGAAGGGAGGAGTCAGAGATAGACCAGATGAAAGTGAAAGCAGGGTGGAAATTGGAGGCGAAATTGATGAAGTTTACCAATTCCAGATGAGAGAGGGAAGCAGCATCGATGGTATCGGAGAAAGAGTTGTAGGTGGGGGCCGGAATAGAACCGGAACAAGGAATGTTCCACATACCCCATGAAGAGACAAGCATAACTAGGGCCCATGCGGGTACCCATGGCAACCCCTCTTACCTGAAGAAATTGAGAGGCGTTAAAAGAGAAGTTGTTGAGGGTGAGGACAAGCGGAGGAGGGTGGTGGTGGGTGGAGATGGTTCAGGTCTTTGCTCCAGGAAGAAGCGGAGAGCCCTAAGATTCTCCTGGTGGGGAATGGATGTGTAAAGGGATTACACGTTCATGGTAAAGAGGAGGTGGCTGGAGCTGGTAAACTGGAGGTTTTGAAACCAGCGTAAGGCGTCAGATGAATCATGGATGTATGTGGGTAGGGATTGGACCGGGGGAGAAGACTGAGTCAAGGTAGGAAGAGATGAGTTCTGTGGGGCAGGAGCAGGCTGAAACAATGGGTCTGCCTGGACAGTCCTGTTTGTGGATTTTTGGCAGGAAATAAAAACGAGCTGTGCGGGGTTGGGGTCTATTAGCTTAGAAGCAGAGGGGTGGAGATCACCGGATGAAATGAGATCCATAACCGTGATGGATATAATGGCCTGATGTGCTATGGTGGGGTCATGGTCCAGGGGAAGGTAGGAGGAGGTATCTGAGAGTTGGTGCTCAGCCTCTGCAAGGTAGAAGTCAGTACGCTAGACTACAACAGCACCACCCTTATCGGCAGGCTTAATGACAAAGTCAGGGTTAGATCTGAGTGCATGGCGTGCAGTCAGTTCGACGGGAGATAGATTCGATTTGGTGAGGGGGCAGCGAAATTGAGGTGACTAATGTCACGTCAACAGTTCTCAATGAAAAGGTCGAGTACAGGTAAAAGGCCGGAGGGAGGGGTCCAGGTGGAGGGAGAGTGTTGGAGTTGGGCAAAGGGGTCTGTGGGACGGGGAGAGGACCCTTGTCCAAAGAAATAAGCACGGAGGTGAAGACGGCAGAAGAAGAGTTCGGCATCATGTCGCACCTCAAATTCGTTAAGGTGGGGACGCAGAGGAATAAAGCTGAGGCCTTTAGGGGTGATAATTTAGGCCTGAGGATTGATAATGTGGTAGAAAGCTGTTTTCCGATAAACACAGGAAATTAGACCTTATAACGAAGTCTATGCTCGAAAGAAAGCCCTTGGCATATGGCCTGTTTCAAAGAGAGTTCGTTTCATACTGGAGACCTGTTATGTTCCAGACATTAGCCACCTTTGGAGACAGAAAATTTTGGAAATACTTAGTAGGTCTGGCACCATGTGTGGAGAGAGAAACAGTGTTAATATTTCAGGTCCATTAGCTTTCATCAGTGTAGTTCAGATCTGCAGTATTTTGCTTTTGTAGATACTTAACTTCTTTACAGAATGTATGTACAGAAAATGCGTGAACTGAATGAGGGTGAATATGTATTTTGAAATCATGATCTTCCTTTATTTTACTTGTTTATTGTTTAAATGTAATTCAAATACTTCTTAAATTATGAGATACATTAAGACTGCTTGTAAATTGTAACTTATTATCGATCAGTAAACTAAACATAAGAATAATTTGAAAATGACCAGCTCATCGACACAAATATAAAGATGCCTTTGACGAATCGTTAGACTTTGAATTTGATATCCCTGGCTTAACAGCTCAAAATGACTCTGTAGATTCTGGTAACAACTACAGCTAACAAACACAAACAGATCACTAGACAAAGATAAAGGCAGTGAAGAGTCTATGCAGCAGTGTGAAATAACAAATCGGAAATTGAGATTTCACAGCACATGATTTTCTTTCCACTGAATTTCACAGAAAAATTTTGGCGACTGGCTTTTTGGTATTGTCAAAATTGCTCGGTTTGAGATATAAAAAAGATTGGTAATATTTTTGGAGGGTCAGTAGAAAATAAATTTGGGCACAGTGAAAAACAAGGTGTTAACGTTGTCACCAGGCCACTTTGCAATGCTGACATAAGCTATTTGCACCTGTAAGAGCTTTTAAAGTTTACAAAATAATATAAATCTCAAATGTTGACGTCTCTTAGTCTTCAAAGGTTAATAAGCTTAAAGCACTCATAATCAGGGAAGACAAATTGTTTGAAGAGAAGCAAATGTCAGATGCAGTTTTGAGAGGGAGAGTTTTTTTGAGATATCCATGGCATTTGTGTTCTTTTCAGTCCCCAAGTATTAATCTAATTTCCTTTTTAACGTACTACTGAATGTATAGAAACAATTCCATGATCTAGTGCATTCCCAATTGAATGAAAAATTATATTTTTCTTCTTGTCACTTTTGGTTCTATTGCTAATGACCTTAGATTTGTGCCGTCTGGTCAATGACTTCAAATTTTGCAAACCAGTTTTTCTTTATTTGTTCAATCAAAACTCTTTCTGATTTTAAAAACAAAAACAGAAATAGCTAGAAAAACTCAGCGGGTCTGGAGCATCTGTAAGGAGAAAGCAGAATTAATGCTTTGGGCCCAATGACCCTTCTTCAGAACTGACTGTAGATAGGAAAAAGGTTTGTCTATATGCTGAAGATGGAGTGGGGAGGGGGAGCAAACAATAGGTGGAGATGTAGCCCAGAGAGACAGAAAAAATGGTTGGGCAGACAAAGACATGGGTAAAGGTCAGCCTGGGTGAATCAATAACTGCTATGGGTACCATTAGTGCCTTACAATGGGTTGTGTGGGGGTTTGGGTAAGGACATGGGAAAAGGTGCCCAGGCCCTAAAATTATTGAACTTGATATTGAGTCCTGAAGGCTGCAGGGGTCCCAAGTAGAAAGTGAGGTGCTATTCTTCCAGCTTGCACTGTGCTTCACAGGAGCACTACAGCAAGCCCGAGACAGAGATGTTGGCCAGAGAATATGGTGATATGTTGAAACGGCCCTTTAGGATTTTAATCACATCTAGTAAGTCTTTCCTGAGCCTTCTTTGAACTAAAAGAGAGCAACCCATTTTCTCTGGTTTATCCACATAACTAATTGTTGGAGCCATTGTGGCAAATAATTTACGAAGTCTAGTACCTTTCCTATTGATTTTTAATCATCACAGCAGGAAAATATTCTTGGGCTGCTTGAATCCTTATCAAGTATCCTAGAGGTGACTGATGTAGAGATCTGAACCTGAACTTTGGCAGTGAACATGCTAATGCTTTATTATATTGGCTACTGAAGTCACATTAAACTAAATGTAAGCACACAACAGTTGATAACAAATAAGATATTCATTAATTCAAAGCTTTTCTTGACAGGCAAGCGACAATGACACTGGAAAAAATGCAGCAATTGAGTTTTTTGTTGTCAAAGTTTTATTCATTTTCTCGGATGGGAAACCAAACAGAGTATTGCCTGATCTATTTGAAGCTTCAAGATCTGCATTTATCGATGGTGAATACACAGCAACTATCAAGTAATGTAAATTTATGTATTATTCGTATCATGAGTGATCTAAAGACAACAATGCAGATTGCAAAACTGCAGTAAGACAACTGTAATGACAATAAAGGAAATTATTAGTGACACAGCTAGGTCAGTCTTCTGTTGCTAAAAAAGTCCATACTAGATTTTCTGCACTTAGCTGTGCTGCAACTGAATTAATGCACAATAGGCAGCCAGGAAGGGAAGTTGCCAGGTGTCCTATTGGAATTCTGCCTGGTTTCTACACTAATATGTTTCTGCTGGGTGGCATCTGCTGTGAAGATAATGGTAAATCTCAGGAAGGTGAATACTTCCTTTCAGTCCTAATTCAGGCGAATGCTCATTATTGTGGACAAACACAAATTGTAAATTCAGTATTGGAAGGTGATAGCAAGAATTTTTGATAATGAAATGGGCAAGCTTATTAGATAAAGTCATCTTTAGGGCTGAGTTTTGTCAGGGGGCAGTGACCTTGAAGGCAAGTTGGAAAATTATGGGCATCACTGACTCTGCTGTTTCTAGGAGTCCTGATTAATTCAATGGCAATTAGAGAATTAACCGTCTTTTGTCAGGGCTTTTGTCTCTTTAAGGGTGGAGATCTAATTTTGGCATGAACAAGTATAGAGGGTGTTTCCGTGGGAATGATCCTTGCCACCAGGGTCGGAGGGTGCTATCTCCATAGGCCACAGGAGGGATCCACCTAGAAGTCTCTAGGTTTTACTTGGCAGTCTCAGTCTTGGCAGAGGGCCCCACCCATGGCTGGTAAATGCCAGGAGAGAGGAGACTCCTTTATTTGACTAATTCAGGGCTTCAACTATTCTTATAATGAAAGGCTCCACTTTCTCTATTGCTGAAAGAATTCCTTGGGATGGTGATGGATCTCCATGAGCACCACTCCCCCATCCAACACTTCACCCCTCCACCTCCACCCACCCCCCCACCCCGACAAACTCTCTGTCTTTTGTCCCGATTTTGCCTGCTTCTAACCCAGCTCTCGAAGATACAATTGAATTCTGCTTTTGACGTTTTGTGCTTTCTCTAGCAGACATTATGTTTCTCGTGATCCTTTGTACTAATAGTGCATTGTGTTCAGTTTCTGTTCTCAGCAGCATTGTGGAATTACAGAATGGTACACTACAGAAGGCTGCCATTTAGCCAGTTGTATCTGTGCCAACTCTTTGAAAGTGTTTTTCAATTTGTTCCCTGGATCTGCAAATAATTCCTTTAAATATATATCCAATTCTGTTTTTTCCTGTTGGATGAATTCCAACAAACATTCCAAATCGTAATCTCTGGTTGTATAAAACAAATTATTTTCACTACCTACCTGGCTATCTTCCAATAGGTTTCCTATTGGACATCTTTCCATTTTTCCTATTTCGCTGAGGAGACAAAATCATAACTGGATACCCATGGACGTTTGGTCATTCAAGGAATGCTTTTGACCACCTTTTCCCACCTGCTCAATGTCATCTGCAAGAAATAGTACTACGCTTTCTTTTCCAGACCATTAGTATAGAATGGCATTCCACCTTCTTAAAGACACTGGACAATAGCATCACTAAGTTTTTATCAATGACCAATGAGCTGTTATGTCAGATGCTTCATGAAAATACTCTATTTATGATCTGTCTGTCATTCTTTCATGACGCTATATGAGAAAAGGAATGCCTGGATATTCAAGGGTAAGTGTAACCCAATTGGCTGAATCTAAGATGCCAGCGTACATTTTCCAGATCCAGGTATATGTATCTAATAGTGATGGTAGGAAACTTACTTCTCAGAATGTGAGTCAACAGAAAACGCAGTGCAAAGTTATCTATCTAATGTGATGATATATATAGTTATAAGGCAGAATAGACTGACTCATGTAAACAGAGTATTGTTCTGCTGTGATCTGAAGTTTGGCTTGTCCTTCTTGTCGGATTGCTATAGTACAGAACTATGAGAATAGCAGTGTAGGCTTGCATAGAGCAACATCATTCTCGCAACCACCTTATTTCAACTTCAGCAACCATCACACATTTTTCTGCAACATCTGTTGCCTGCAACTTGGATTTCCTTTCTCTTAATTTTGCTTGCCTTTTCTTAGACCAGTACACTGTTTTGGCAAAATGATACAAATATCTCAGCAAGAAGCCCAGCAATTACTTCCCTATCTTTCTACAAAGTACTAGGGTATACCTGATCAGGTCTTAGGGATTTATCTACCTTTATGCATTTTAAGACATCCAGCATCTCCTCCTCTGTAATATTGACACTTCTTAAGATATCACTTTTTATTCCCCACATCCTCTAGCTTCCATATGCTTCGCTACAGTAAACACCGATGCAAAAAATATGTTTAGTGTCTCACCCACAGATAGGCGTCCTTGGTGATCTTTAAGAGGCCCTATTCTCTCCCGAGTTAATCTTTTGTCCTTAATGTTTTTTGTAGGATATCTTTGGATTCTCCTTAACCCCATTTGCCAAAGCTGTCTCATATCCCTTTTCTGCCCTTCTGATTTCCCTCTTAAGTATACTTCTACTGTCTTTATCCTCTTCTAGGGATTCATTTGATCCCTGCTGTCTATACATGACATATGCTTCCTTCTTTTTCTTGACCAGGTCATCAATTTATCCAGTCATCCAGCATTCCCTGCACCTACCAGTCTTGCTTTTCATCCTAACTGGAACATACTGTCTCTGGACTCTTGTTATCTCATTTTTGAAGGCTTCCCACTTTCCAACCGTCCCTTTACCTGTGAATGTCTGCCCCCAATGAACTTTTGAAAGTCCATATAGTCATAGAGTCATACAACATGGAAACAGATCCTTCAGTTCAACCAGTCCATGCCAAATGTAATCCTCAAACTAAACAAGACCGACTGTTGGGCTGAAAAAATGGCAAATAGAGTTCTATCTGGATAAATGCGAGGTGTTGTATTTTGGTATAATAATCGAGGTTAGGGCTTATACAATTAATAGTACAGCTTTGGTAGTGTTGTAGAACTGAGGGACCTTGGGGTGCAGGTACATAATTCTTTGAAGTCTGCACCACATATAGGCAGGATGGTTAAAAAGGTATTTGGCACGCTTGCCTTCATTGCTCAGTCCTTTGAGCAGAGGAGTTGGGAAGTCATGTTGAGGTTGTACAGGACATTGGTGAGGCCTCTTCTGGAATATTGTGCCCTTTTCTGGTTGCCCAATTATAGGAAGGATATTATCGAGCTGGAGAGTGTTCAGAAGAGGTTTACCAGGATGTTGCCAGGTCTGGAAGGTTTGAGTTGTAAATAAAGGCTGTATTGGCTGGGACTTCTTCCACTGGAAGTTGAAAGGCAACCTGATGGAAGTTTATAAAATAATGAGGGATATAGATAGAGTTAATGCTGGTTGTCTTTTCCTTAGGTTGGGAGATTTCAAGACTATGGGGCACATTTTTAAGGTGAGAGGAGAGAGATTTTAAAAAAGACATAGGAGGCAAATTGTTTGCATAGAGGGTGGTTCGCATGTGGAATAAACCTCCCAAGGAAGTGGTGGATATGAGTACAATTACAACATTTAAAAGGCAGTTGGATAAGTACATGAATAGGAAAGGTTTGGAGGGATATGGTCCAGGAGTAGGCAGGTGGGACTAGCTTAGTTTGGGGTTATGTTCAGCATGGACTGGTTGGACTGAAGGGTCTGCTTCCGTGCTGTATGTCTCTATGATTCAATGACTCTATGGATGTATTCCCTGGAATATCCTCCCTGATTACTACCATAATGTTATCCCTAATCAAAAATGCTACTCCCCCTCCTTTCTTGCCTCCTTTTCTATCCTTCCTACAGCATCTTGAGAGTGTTTCCATGCTGTACATATTTATGACTCTATAATTTATTTTTATGAGGGATTAAATAGTGAAATGTAGTGAATTTTTTTTTATCAGTGATTCTTTTACAAATAGTGAATTCACCACTGGACTCTTAGAACTTTATCTTATTTGTCCTCAGCATGTATCCTGAGGTCTACTCTTGGTGGATACTGGCTGAATGCCGTGGAGGCCATAAGGGAAAAAAATGTATGTGGGGGCGATTGGGTTGGCTTGGAAGGTTGGAGTGGCCATAAAAGGTAGACGGGGGCATGCTTTTGTAAAGTGGCTTAGGTTGGCAAATATGGGAGAGTGGTTGGGGGAAAATGACGTGTGGGCTGGAGAGCCAATTTTTGTTTTATTGTGTCTTTATGTATCTCAAACAAAATACCATAGGGGTGCCAAGACCAGCCATACTTCAGACTGCCTTTTTACCCAGCAGCCCCCGTGACTGCCTCCAATTTCTTTCCAGGGCTGGCAGGCCAATGCGTACAACTCCTGTTAACACTCACCCTAGAATGAAAATCCAATTGGCCGGGGTCACTTTCTCCCCCAAGTCAGTTTGCAGAGTTAGGAATGATTCCACCTGTATGCTCCTGACTTGACAAGATTAAATTTCTCTTTTTTTGTCATTATCCCACCCTTCCATAGTGTGGCAACTGACCTTGATACAATGTCATCAGGAAATGGCTTGAATAAATATGAAGTATGCGGAAATTCGTAGTTTTGTTATTGCTTTCAGGATTATTTCTAAAGACACAGCTCTGGAATAGTTCCAATTTTTATTTTAATTTGCCAATCAGTTGAATCATTTGAATGTCATTTATTTAGTGACATTTGAATGGCTGCCATTCTCTGAACACACAGTAATACATAGCACTATAAAATATATTCTCATTAAAAATGATTTTAACCTACCTTACCTAATGATTTTAAAGTAGTCCTTTGATTCATAGGATTAAATCATCACTGGATAAAACATTGAAAGGACAATACAAGGTAACTGTAGAAGCAAGAGATGGAGGCAAACCCACTTTATATGCAAGCAGTGATCTGGATGTAAGTATTATTAAGATTATTCAGTTTGTTATAGAATCCCATTCAACTTTTAATTAATATTCTCATTGTTGAACTGACATCAGGTGTTGGTCAGCTTGGCCCAAACAAGAAAAATAGTCATTAAGATGGTCTCCCTCTGTCATCCTCAATTTGGCTGACCTGCAATTTCTATAATCCTGATTTCTAAGATATGGATCCCATTTAAATGACTCATTGATAAACATTACTCCATTAATCTCCCGAACCTCCTATATTACACATCAAAAATTACAAGCAGTACATTAAAACGTTACTTCAAAGTTACAAGGCACCAAGAGGCCTTTTTGAGTACTGTGTTTGTTCATTTCAGCTGAACTTTTGCACTTTAGATCATTGAAGAGCCACAGCATTAATTCTGGGATGGTTTTCTTTATTTTTGGATCTGCTAGTTATTGAAAGGGAGCCATTTCAAAATCAGCCAGTTGGCTCTACAGTGCTCCATTAAGTGGGTACTCTGGCTGTAGTCCAGCACTCCCAGTAGATAGATGGCTGGTGGTGAGTTAAACTTGAGGTGCCTCAGGCAAGGAGCGACATTGATTGGATTTGTCCTACTTTTTGTGAAAGGAACAAACCCGGGCAATTTTCCATATTGTCGGATAGATGCCAGTGCTGTAGTTATATTGGAACAGTTTGGCTAGGGGTGCAGCAGGTTCTGGAGCACATGTCATTAGTACTATTGCTGGAATGTTGTTGAGGCCCGTGGCCTTTGCAGTATCCAGTGCCTCCAACCATTTCTTGATATCACGTGGAGTGAATTGAATTGACTGAAAACTGGTATCTGTAATGCTGGGGACGACTGGAGGAGGCCAAGACGGTTCATTTACTCAGCACTTCTGGCTGAAGATTGCTGCAAATGTTTCAGCCTTATTACTGTGGATTCTTCTGTCTTATCTTTTGCACTGATATCATTGGGCTCTCCCATCATTGATGATTAGGATATTTATGAACTCTTCTGCAATGAGTTGTTCAATTGTCCACCATCTTTCATGACTGGATGTTGCAGGACTGCAGAATTTAGATTTGATCTATTGTTTGCGGAATTATTTAGTTCTGTCTATCACTTGTTGCGTATGTTGATTGGCATGCAAGTAGTCCTGTTTGGTAGCTTCACCAAGTTGATACCTTATTTTTAGGTATGCCTGGTGCTGCTTGTGGCATGCCCTCCTGCACTCTCCATTGAACCAGTGTTGATCCCCTGGCTTGATGGTAATGCTTGAGTGGGGGATATAATAGGTCATGAAGTTGAAGATTGTGCTGGAGTACAATTCAGCTGCTGTTGATGACTCCTCTTGGCTGTCTGGTCTTGAGTTGCTAGATGTGTTCAAAGTCTGCCCCATTTTGTGCACTGATAGTGCCACACAACATGATGGAGGTTATTCTCAATGTGAATGTGGGACTTCATCTCCACAAGGACTGTGTGTGATCACTCTTACCAATACTGTCGTGGACAGATGCATCTGCAGCTGGCAGATTGGTAATGATGAGGTCAAGTACGTTTTGTCCTCTTGTTGGTTCCCTCACCACCTGATGCAGACCCAGTCTAGCAGCTATGTTCTGTAGGACCTGACCAGCTTAATTGGTAGTGTTGCTACCTAGCTACTCTCGGTGGTAGACATTGAAATCCCCCACCCAGAGTACATTTTGCACCCTTGCCACCCTCAGTGCTTCCTCCAAGTGTTGTTCAATATGGAGGAGTATTGATTCATCTTCCATTTCCTCCACTCTGCATGACTTATCTAAGAATTGTAACCAGTTTAAAGCTGGCAGGAATTTGTCAGGCTTTCAACAGTGACCTGCATGGAGTTGCCTGATTAGCACCCACAGCTTGGTGACCATAAGACAATGTGGCACTAATATATATATATATCATATGTCTTTCATTGATAAATATACAAAACCATGGTAGTGAGGTTGGTGACAATATTGTCAACCTGTTTTGTGAGATCAGAAAAGGACATAAGGGCGGCATGCGAATGGAGCATAATGAAAATTTGTGTAAAGTAATCATAATTATTATATTTGTTTGCATATTGTAACACATTTTTACAGTTAATTACAGTGGATGAGAGTTACAAGACACGATTAGAGTTTACGGTAACACCTGAAGAAGTTCAGCAAAATATGAATGAAATAATTGCGTAAGTTGCCAATCCTTTCATCAAAATAAATACTTGCTACACTGTAATCTATTTCCTACAAATCTTTAAATATGAATTTGATTCTGTTTATAGCCTGCTTCGGGAAGCCACATATTCAAATCCTTATGTGGCGAGTGTAACTGCTGTCACCAATGAGAAAGTACAATCATTAGCCAGGTACGGCATAAATATTCCCATGCTATTTCAGCGAAAGGTACATTATTTATCTAATGGGTAGCATCAGTAGCAACAAACTGATTATTATGTAGATTGGAACCCAGCAAAAATGTTTATAAAAGAAGCTAGATAGTTAAATTTTGTTTTAAGACTTTCAGTATATGCTTGACAATCACACATTAAGCACATTTGTGAAAATTTCTACTAGTTGAGATTTCAGATAATGCAGCGTACCTAGTATTCACTTCTAAAATGTTATAAGCAAATTAAGCGATATTTTGCAATTAAATAATGTGATAACAGAGTTTTGATCTTGTTTTATTAGTTTGACTGGAAGAAATAATTTTCTTACAGAAACATAGCTAAAGCTACAATGGAGCTGTATTTTGTATATAACAATGGAACAGCCATTCCTCCTGAGCAAGTCAATAGGTACGTCTTTTTTTTTTTATTTTTCCTTTTATGCACTAAAAGTTAGAAAAATATTCTGTATGAAAGGGAAGAGACAGAGACTAGCTAGCAATCCATACATTCTGACTCTGGGCTTGTTGGCAAACTATATTGTTACCCTATGCAGGACATGCATAAAATTGAAATAGAAGTAGGATTGTGGTGAGAGGGAAGATGGCATTGAAGGAAATAAGGGAACAAGTAGCAATGCAAAGGGAGAAGGAAAATAGAAATGAATATAATCGGCAGGGTTAGAGGTAGGGAGAAATGAATGATTAAAAAACACAAATGAATGTTGCTTGTTTCCTCTTACTTAGGTTATGAATCTACCAAATGTAAACTTTAAATATTTTCAAACAAAACCAAAATGCATTCCTTTTAATGTAAATATTTAATATATTTCTTCAAGAAACATAAGTGTAAGATCTACCTAGAGGTTTGGAATCATATTTTTTCCTTCAAGGTTGCAGTTAGCTCTTCAAATTTTAACTTACCACATGTAAACTCTTCACCAGCATGTGTAGCCACATGGTTTATGGCGTTGAGTACTGTTCTACACATCAATGAGATGGTTATCCTTCTGCCTTTATGATGTTGTGGCCTGCAATGGTTTCCCATTATCTATAAGTGGCTGCTATTGGACTCTGGTAGGTTTCTGCAAACTCTTTCGTTTTTGCTAATGTAGGTAACACTGTTCTCTGTAAGTACATCTCGTACAGGTGCAGACTATTCCATCCTTTTTCCCTAGTCTCCTGCATATGACTGCTTATGCCACTGTTATGTCATGTTATGTATCACCAGCTTATTATCATATCCTTTCTCATTGTAATACACCAATGTTCCATTCTCCTCAGCACAAGTTAAAGGAATGTTCTACATTTACAGCTGAAGTTCCAACCTAATATTTTTTGCTTGAAATATTCTTGCGGTCAGGGATATTTTTAGTAAACAGTCTGTAGCTGCTTTAATTTTTAATGCTTCTTAGCTTTTACCAGTTTCTTGTTGACATGGTGGAAAGAAAATTAGTTTGTGAACTGATGCTGTAAAACACAACTTACGTAAGTTAATTAAACAAAATTGCCAGAGGAGAAGATCCTCTCCATTAAACATTTTGTACATTTTACATTTTAGTGGTGATAGTAGTATTAATAAAATTGTCTCCATTATTAATATTTAAATATTTATTAATTATGGTAATGACATACAAAGAATGACTTAACAAAATCTATACTGTATGTCAATTTATCCTCTATATAAGAAAGTAGAGTTTATGGTTTAGTTTCTATGTTATATGCAATTGGCAGAACTGTGTCCAAAATTGTGTTTGTATTGAGAAGAATTTTGATTTCTTGGGTTTCTGCTATGATCCAGTTGGGAGAGGTGAGCTGATTCATTATCCCATTCCTTCACTGGTCACAAAAGAAAAGCTTGAACTTAAAAAGGGAAGTGATGTTACCAATTTTAGAAATATATATATAATGTATATAAATAATCAGATCATTTATAGCTTAATATCAAAAATGTCAGCCATATTCCTTTAGCAACAATTAAAGAAGTTGTTTATTGCAAACAAAATGTACACAAATGAAGATTTAAGGATTATGAGCAAAATGCAAGTAGTTTTTTTTTGCAAATTCACACATACACACTTTGGCAAAATAACAGTTAAATTCAGTGAAAAATATCAGTCCTAGATTGTTTAAATGTTGAGCTGTAGCCAAAGTAATTTTGCTGCCAAGCACTTGACAGTGGGGTGTGTCCTGTAAGGATCAGGTGTGGCTGGCTGAATTCTGGAGACAATGGTGAAAGATTCTGGATTCTCCTTTAAAAATTCTCAGATTGCAACAACTCCTGTACACACCCTCCACTTGAGTTGAGGAGATATTACAATGGGTTTGCAACCTGTGAACTTTGATGGTTTCAGAGAAAAAAGAGAGAGGATGAAGACTGTTGTCACAGGCAAGCTATCTCTCTGGCTGTTTGTGTCTAATCCAATAGCTTTACTGAAACTTCAAGCTGAGTCATATGACCTCTTTCTGAAAGTATTATTGACCCTTTGACTACAGGCAAGAGTTTGTGTTCCTTTTAATTCCACCACTTATTTCTTGTTTCAGCCAATTTCCTTTGTTTTGCAAAGTGTTGTTTCCAAAAAGTGTAAGATCTAGCTAAATGTTCAGTCATTGATATAATTCAGGTATCACATCTTTATGACACAATTTAAAGTCATTTTTCTGTCTCTGAGGGCAAAATCTGTCATGGGGCTGGATATTACATGCCCCTGCTGGCTCTTTTTGTGGTGAGGTTATGCAACATAAGATGGATATCCAGTACACAATCTTGCCATCCACCCTTGTGCTTAACCCTATAATATGGGGGCTCGGCACCAAAATTGGCAACATACCAACCATATGTAGATAAATAAATCTCATAAAAATCCTGTCTCCTTTGCAACAGCTTCCAGTTCTTCACATTTAGGCATCTAGTCTTGAAATGCCATGAAAGTATCACCAGCTCAGACTGCCTCAATAACTGCTCATATCTGAGTAGTACTCTGGCTGAAGAACTTCAGAGTTCTCATCAACAGTGGCTTGGCAGCTCAGTTGACAGAATTGGTTAAGACCTAAAGATCACCGCTGCACAATTGGATCTGTAGCAGCTGGTGAAGGAAACCAACTAGAGATTAAAAAAAAACCTGAACCCATTTGCACCAATCTAGCTGCCACGGATATACCTTTTTAATGGTACTATCAGTAAAAGTGACCACTGGAACTGAAGTCTCATTTTCACATTGACGATTCCATTATTTTGTTGCGTGGCATGAATGGGATAGATTTTGAACACAGATAGCAACTCAAGACTGGCCATCCAGTTGCTGTGGACCATCAGCAACAGCAGAATTGTACTGCAATTCATTTCTGCAACTTTGTGGCCCTCCATATCCCCCACTCTGCCATTAACAGCAGGCCAGGGGATCAACTTGATTCAGGAGGGTATGCCAGCACCAGGCATACCTAAAAATGAGCTGATCACCTGGTGAAGCTAAAAAGCAGGACTGAAACAGCAGAGGTAGCAAGTGATTGACAAGACTAAGCAATTCCATACCCAATGGATGAGATCTAAACTCCTGCAGTCAAGGAGTAACCTTTGAATGGCATTTCCTGGTTTGCAGTGTTTGAGATGCTATGCAGCTGAGGTTTGAATACTGCACCTATGGTGTCAATGCAGAAGGTCCCAGCAACAGCTAGCAATTCCACCTGTGTGACTGCAAGATTCAACAAGAAGATGCTGTTGAGCTCGGGTGCATAATTAAGAAGTTAGCAGCAGAAAATTACTTGAGAAAAAAACTCCCATGACCTACAGGTGGAAATCATCCATAAAATTCCCCAAAAATAACATTTAGCCAAAAAATGGGAAGAACCAACCCATTAACTGTTTCTCTGCACAGATGTTACCTGACTTGTGGAGCTTTTCCAGTACTTTTTGTTCTTAATTTTAGATTTCCTGTAACCACAGCATATTGCTTTTGTGCCATTTTGTATCATCCAGTTGAATTCCACATTTTGCTCATCCTGCCTATAATTTGCTCCTTTTCAGCAAACTTCAGCTTAACCCTGAGGCTGTTAAGAACCTGTTAGACCTTGGTCTTTTGAATATTGTAAGTACTGACATCTAATAAGGATGACCAGCTATTTCCTCTAGCAGATATTATGAAGACTAAAGGCATTGCTTTTGTTTTCACTCTAAACTCCATTCCTACTGATTCTACCCCGGCTACGTCTTTAGACTAAACCAATCTGTTTGTGACCTCGGTGCCGTATTTGTTTCTATGATGAGCTTTTGAACAGATATTCACACCTTTACTATGACTGCCTGTTTCCACCTCACCAACATCACTTGACTTTCTCCCTTTCCTAGGTCATCCGCTGCAAAAACTCTCATTCATGTCCTTGCTTCCATGTGACTTGCCTATTCCAACATACTCCTGTCTGGTCACTCACATTCAACCCCCTGTAAACCTGAGGTTATCCAAAACTCTGCTTCCCATGTCTTGCTTCACACCAACTTGCTTTCAACTCCCATGTTGTCTGAAATACATTTGTTGCCAGTCAATCAAAATCTTGATTTTAAAATTCTTAGTTTTATTTTCAAATTCTTCAGTGATCTCTCTCTTCCCTATCTCTGTGAGCTCCTACACTTTTGCCAACTTCTGAGACATCCACGTTCCTCTCTTTCTGATCTCTTAGCCATCCTTGACTTAATTGCTTCGCTATTAGTGGCCAAGCCTTTGGTTGCATAAGCCCTAAGGTAAGGAATTCCTCCTCTATATCTCTCTGCCTTTCTACATTAAAACCATAAGATATAGGACAAGAATTAGGCCATTTGGTCCATCAAGTCTGCTCTGCCATTTGATTATAGCAGATATGTTTCTCAAGCCCATTCTCCTGTCTTCTCCTCATTAGCTTTTATTCCTTAATAATCAAGAACATATCTATCTCTCAATTGCATTCAATGGCGCGGTCTCCACAGCCTTCTGTAGCACTGAGTTCCACAGATTCATCAACTTCTGGCTGAAGAAATTCATCCCCATCTCAGTTCTAAAGGGTTATACCTTCATTCTAAGGTTGTGTCCTCGTCACCTGGTATCTCTTACTAGTGGAAATATCCTCTACATGCCCATGCTACCTTGGCCTGTCAGTATTATGTAACTTTCAATGAGATCCCCCTCATTCTTCTAAACTCCGTCAGGTACAAACCCAGAGTCCTCAAACGCTCCTCATATGACATGCACTCTATCCCCAGGATCATTCTTGTTAACCTCCTCTGCACATGCTCCAATGCTAGCACATAAATAGATAAGGGGCCCAGAACTGCTCACAATATTCCAAATGTGGTCAGACAGAGCCTGATGCAGCCTCAGCAGTACATTCCTGCTCTTGTAATCTAGCCCTCTTGAAATGAAAGGTAACATTGCATTTGCCTTTCTAACTGCCAAATGAACCTGCATGTTAACCTAAAGGGAATCTAGGACTCCAAAGTTCCTTTGTGCTTCAGATTTCTGAAGATTTTCCCCATTTAGTAAATAGTCAATGCTTCAATTCTTCCTCCAAATTGCATAACCTCAGAATTTTTCATATTGTATTCCATCTGCCATTTCTTTTCCCATGCTCTTAGACTGTCCAGGTCCTCTTACAACCTCCACATCTCTTCAACACCACCTGTCCCAACACCTATCTTTGTATCATCTGCAAATCTAGGAACAATGCCCTTAGTTCCTTCATCCAAATAATTATCATATAATGTGAATAGTTATGGTCCCAACACTGACCTCTGGGGAATTCTACTAGTCACTAGCTTCCATCCTGAAAAAGACCCCTTTATCCCCACTCTCTGTTTTCTGCACTCAGCCAATCCTCTATCCATGCCAGTACCTTGCCCCTTACACCATGGCCTCTTATCTTAATTAGCAGCCTCCTATGCAGCATCTCGTCAAGTGCCTTTGGAAATCCAAATAGATCATGCCCACTGGCTGTCCTTGGTCTAATTTACTTATTAGCACATCAAAGACATCCTTTGATGAAGCTTTGCTGACTCAGCCCTATTTTACCACCAAGTACATGCAATCATGTGGTGGCACAGTGGTTAGCACTGCTGCCTCACAATGCCAGGGACCCGGGTTTGATTCCACCCTTAGGTGACTGTCTGTGGAGTTTGCACATTCTCCCTGTGTCTGCATGGGTTTCCACCGAGTGCTCCGGTTTCCTGCCACAGTCCAAAGATGTGCAGGTTAGGTGGATTGGCCATGCTAAATTGCCCGTAGTATCAAGGGCTGTGTAAGTTAGGTGAATTAGCCATGGGAAATGCAGGGTTATAGAGAAAAGGATAGGAGAATGGGTCTGGATGGGATGCTCTTCGGAGAGGTGGTGTGGACTTGTTGAGCCAATTAGCCTGTTTCCACACTGTAGGGATCCTATGATTCATCCTTAATAATGTACCCTTAATATCTTACCATTGATTGAGATCAGGCAACTGGCTTATAATTTCCCTCTGTTCTTAAATACAGGTGTAACATTGGCTATTTTCCAGTCCTCGGGAACCTCCCTGACTCCAATGATTCCTGAAAGATCATCACCAATGCCTTAACAATCTCCTAAGCTATCTCCTTCAGAACCCTGGGGTGTAGTCCATTTAGTCCAGGTGGTTTATCCACATTCAGACCTTTAAGCTTCCCTAGCACCTTTTCCTTAGTGATGGCCATTTTCTTTGTTCCCCATTACTACTTCTCCAGTCTCATTTTCCAGCAGTCCAATGTCCACTCTTGCCCCTTTCTTAACTTTTAGATATTTTAAAACTTCCTGCTACCTTCTTTTCTATTACTAACTAGTTTACTCTCATATTTAATCTTGCTCCCTTATTAATTTTTTTTAGTTGTCCCCTGCTAGTTTTTTAAAGGCATCCTAATCATCTGGCTTCTCACTAATCTTCACCACATTGTATACTTTTTCTTATGATTTTATGTTGTCCCTGACTTCCCTTATCAGTCATAGTTAACTTGTTCTCCCCTTAGTATGTTTCTTCTTCCTTGGGATGAATTTCTGTTGTGCTTCAAAAACTACCTCACAAACCCCTGCCATTGCTGCTCCACTGTCTTCCCTGTTAGGCTCCCCTTTCAATCAACTCTGTCCAGCTCCTCCATCGTATCTTTGTAGTCACCTTTACTCAATTGTAATATCATTGCATCTGATTCCAGCTTCTGTCTCTCAAACTGCAGGGTGAATTCTATCATATTATGGTCACTGCCCCTGGGTTTCCTTCATCATAAGCTCCCTAATCAATCTGCCTTATTATACATTACCAAATACAGATTTGCCTGTTATCTTGTGGAGTCGACCTAAGCTGCTCCAAAAACAAATCTCATAGACATTCCAGAAATTACTTTTATTGGGATCTGCTACCAACCTGATTTCCTAGTCCACCTGCATATTGAAGTGCCCCATGGTTATCGTAATACTGCCTTTCATACATGCCTTTCTTATCTCCTGATTTATTTTCTGCCCCATATCCTGACTACTGCTAGGAGGCCTATACACAACTCCCATCAGAGTTGTTATTCCTTTGCAGTTCCTCAACTCTACACACACAGATACTATATCTTCCAACTCTATATTTCTTCTTGCTATCAATCCAATTTCATTTATTACTAACTATTCTGCCCCTTCTGCCACCTGCCTGTCCTTTTGGTAGGACTTCTATCCTTGGCTATTTGGTTTCTAGCTCTGATCTCCTTGCAGTCACATCTGTGATGCCCACAACATTGTACCCATCAATTTCAATCTGCACTACAACCTCATTTACCTTGTTTTTTATACTGCCCATATTTAAGTACAACATCCTCAGTCCTGCGCTGACCACTCTCCTTCACAGCTGTTCCCTTAACTGCTGGAACAAAAACAAAGTTGCTGGAAAAGCTCAGCAGGTCTGGCAGCATCTGTGGAGGGGAAAACAGAGTTAACGTTTCGGGTCCGGTGACCCTTCCTCAGAACTGCTGTACTTGAAGTTAGATTCCTGACCCTTTCCATACTCTCTGTCATTTACTTGTTCTGGAAATCTTCATAGCCTCTCCTGAGCCCTCCCCACTTTAACTAATTTAAAGTCTTTGTGGCCTTGATTTACCACAATTTACACCGTCAATTTGTCTACCTTATTCCAAATGCTTTGTGCATTAAAACCTTTTAAATTTGTCCTATGATTGAATTTCCCTATATTTTCATGGTTTCTTGGTACAATATGACATTCACACATTTGCTCCCTTCCTTTCATTTTCTGGTAACAATCAACCCCATCACTAACCAATTTCTCCTTTACCTTTGCTTTTATATGTTTCCATGCAACTAAACATACTCCCAACTATTTAGTTTAAAGCCCTATCTACAGCCCTAGTTATGCGATTCGCCAGAACTCTGCCCAGCATGATTCAGGTGGAGTCCATTCCATCAGAACAGCTCCCTCCTTCCCCAGTATTGGTGCCAATGTCCCATGAATTCAAACCTGTTTCTCCTACACCAATCTTGGGACCACACATCTTTAATCACGTTGACCCTGAACTCGTGGCTGAGGTAGTAATCTGGAGATTATTACCATTTTGGTTCTGCTTTTTAATTTAACCTCTAGATGCTCATTTTCCCTCAGCAGAAGCTCTTTCTTATTGCTACCAATATCGATGCTACCTACATAGATAATGACAAGTGGAATTTTCCCTCCCACTCCAAGTTCCTCTGCAGCCAAGATGAGATATCCTGAACCTGGGCACTCTGATGATATTATCTCCGATTACAACTAAATTTTTCTTTTCTCCCCGCTTTTGAATGGCTCCCTGTACCCTAGTGTCTGGTCAGTTTACTCATCCTCCCTACAGCACCACCACTCCCCTCCCCCACCCCACCCCCCAACCAACCCCTGCTCCTGTTGTCAACTACACAAGGGGCAAGAATGTCAAACTTATCAGCCAAGCTCAGGGCTGAGGCTCCTTCAGCATTACCTTCTGGATCCCTCTACCTGCCTCACTCATAGTCACACATCCCTGTCCTGGACCACTGACCAAATTCGAGGTAGTTAATCTAAAGGGTGTAAAACACAGCATTCACGTAACTCTCACCCTCTCTAATATATTGCAGTGTTCGTCAACCCTGAGCTGAAGTTTCTCATGCAACCATCACTTGCCAGTTTTCCCTTTAATACTGTCAAAATCTACCTAAACCAATAACGTAATCTAAATGTGTATATGCAGCTAAGTGTTAATGTCCCTGTGAATTACCTGGGGACATTTTATTATGTCGTTGGTTAGTCCGTTGAAATCATTATTCAGATTTATCTCTGAACATCTCCATGTATTCTTCCATACTATTTAAATATACCATGTGATTCTTTTTTTTGGTTCATTGGATATAAATGCAATTAATTCTATTGTTAACATCATGTACCTGATTCCTAAATTTTGTGTCTTTCAGAAAGAAACAACTGAATCTAGTAATAATGAAAGATTATTTGTGGCAATTATCAGTGGGTTGGTGGGAGGTTTCGTTATTTTGTTAACCATCATGATAACTGCTCTGGTTTGCAGTCGAGAAAGGTAATTACACAAGCATCACATGGAACATTAATGAGAAACAACATCTGTATTCCTAAGAAAAGGCTTAATTTATGGGCTCAGCAATAGCGCTTTGAGTTTAGTGAATAAGTAGTTGAGCAGGTTTCAGAATGGATCCCTGGTTTTTGCAGACTAATGCCAGCTATAACGGAAGGAGTTTTACACTTAGCTCATTTATGCGTCTACAGGTGCACAGAAGTTCAAAACTTATGTTTACCCCTTGGCTCCATTAGCCGTGGTACTGGTCTCATTATAGGACAATTTCCAACCCAAATTGATAATGGGGGTTCTAAGACACAATTTGCATATTAAAAGGGATCTCATCTGAAACGTGGTCATGCTATGGCATCCAGTAAAAAATGTCATTGACCTCTTGATTAGCATTGAGAAGTAGTAAGGCTATTGTTATATGGCAGTCACAATACTACTAATGTCAAGCTATGAATGTTGGAGGTCTGTTTGCTCAGTTGCCTGGACAGCATTTTTGTGAGGCAAAGTGATGCCAACAGCACCAGTCTAATTCCCATTTCAGCTGAGGTTACCATGAAGGATTGTCCTTTGCTTGAGGTGTGGTGACCCTCAGGTTCAACCATCACCAATTGTCTCCGGTGAATATTGAGTACCAATTACGTGAAAAGTTTTTATATTTGAGCCTTTTGTGGGAGTTAGTGTATTGGTGGATATTGGAAATGCACTTGATATTTGTATTTTCAAAATGTTTTTCCAATGTGTCACACAAAAGACTACTACTGTCCCACAAAAAATGTAAATAAGTAAAGTGTGAAAATCTGTTTTGGTCTCTTCTTCCCACTAGGTTAGCCTGGCAAGAAAACCACAGTGGTTTCTCTGTGCAGGCTTTCGACAAAAATGATGTTATATTGCATTACTTCATCTGAGCCTAAATTGTTTTTGTGACCCTTTTGGCTAATCAGAAGAGGAAATTAAAATAAAAAGCTGTGGATCTTTTTGGAATATCACTGGGAGAGATCCTCAGATGATTTCAACTGCCTTCTCACATAATGAGCAGGGGCATGTACCACTAATATTTCTGTTCTTCGTATGCCTGGTTTCCGTATCACGATTTAGTAGTGTATAGTGTTCCGTACACATAGTGAAATGTAAAATTACATTGCCACTTTCACTGCACAATGCTGCTTTAAAAATGATCATTTAGGAAATGGTAGGTGATAACTTCCTGACTTCCAACTGTGAAAATATGCTTCCAGAATGCTATCTTCTGAATACATACAGGCTGACACAGGTGCAGTTTTGAAAGTGTCACTTTGTAATGATTAATCATTATTCATATACTAACACCCAAAAACACAGAACAATCTGTCAACAATAGTCAGAATTATGGGTTGGATGATCTGAAGGTATTCTGACTACAACAAATACATGTATCCGAGTAGGTCACAGAAAGAAGACTCAATTCAGATTCCAAAATTCTCCTGATTAGTCTTGGAATCCTGCACTCTGAGCTCCCTACATCTGGGCGACTGGACTATTGTCAGTAACAGTTGCTCCTTTAGGAAACAATTCTTTACAGAATAATTTCAATTCAAATCTATTTTATGGAAGGTATTTGGCCATTGCATTGAATCAAGTACATACAAGATGTTTAAAAAAACAGTTTTCATTTTATGTTTATTAAATTCTTGCTGGTGTACTTTTCCAAGTTCATTCATTGAACTCAGTATCTCACCCAAGTGACTATTCTTTGCATAAAATCTTAGAGTGCTTGCTTATAAGAGCATTACATTTCAGAAGCTTAATGAATCATTTATTGTTATGATCCATCCAGAGTGAAAATAACTTATGAGCCCTTTATTCAGCCATCTAATTAACCTCTGAAATATCCAGAGGCTTTTGCATGGAGAATGTGTACATGTGAGATAAATATACAACATTACATTTATTTACATTAAAAGACACTTACCAGTTATGGGCCCATTGTACTTTGATCTGTTTGGTATTATTTTTCTTATCTACGATCATATCTTTGTGTCATATGCAAATTTAAGGACAGTTCATTTTCAGCCAGGCGAATGATTAAAAATGGTGAAAAATGACTGCATTAAAAACGTTCCCTATAAGCCTGCACATTGTCAATTCCTGCAATAAATCACTATTTTAATAAGGCAGGCACAACTTTATTTAGTAGTCTTATATGTGACACTTTTGGAAAAATATTTTGTAAATAAAAATAAGCAATACAAATATCAAGTGGAATTCCAATATCTGCCAAGGTATTAACTCATTTGAAAAATTCAACCAGAATGGCATGATGAGGTCTACTTTTCCAGAAGGCATGCTGAGATCCGTTGATAATGACTACTTTGTCAAGGTGATTGTATGGTGCATCTCGAAAGAATGCTTTCTAGCAAATTACTTACAACTAAAATTAAATTAATTAATTTATAATTGCCTTGTTCTGACTTGTTCTGGCTGATATAAGCACATATACTTGTATGAGTACCTTGTTAATCCATGGAATTTACTTCAGAGTAGATGCCATACAGGTCACAGTCTGGGTATCATTGAGGAGTCTCCAGTGAATACCATCAGGGATGGCAACCTAATCTGTCTTATGGTCCTCTACTTCCAACTCGGACAGGATCTGCATCCGCTTTGAGACTTTCAATCTCAGCAACCTATATTGTAATATTGATAATTTAGCATCATGTCTCTAGTAAAGATGGTGCAAAATAGCCATTTAAATCCTCATAAGATCATAGGGATCAATTCAAATCTAACCTGAGCAATCCTTCAATAGCATAAAGGTTCTCTGATTCCTGAAAAATACCTTTAGGTTACTATCAAGATTTTGACTGTGCTCTTCTCCAGTGTATAGTTGGCAGTTATGATAGCAGTTTCCATTGCCTTCGACTGGGTTTGATACCCAACTTTGCATTTGTGCTTATCCAATTTGTCCTTGAATACAGAAATACACAGAACAGAAGGAGGCTATTTAGCTCAGCTTGCCTGTGCCAAATATGACCTTTTTTTTATCTGAAGAAGGGTCCCGACCCAAAGCATCAACTTTCCTGCTCCTCTGATGCTGCCTGACCTGCTGTGTTCCTCTAGCTCCACACTATGTTATCTGTGACTCCAACATTGGCAGTTCTCACTACCTCTGACCTGTTAACCAGTTTTGTATTACCAAGTGCTCTTTTAATACAGAAACGTATGTGATCTCTTTCCTCATAAAGTTGTTATGAGGGCATTCCATTTTTCATTGTGTTGCTGCTACCCCTGTTTAGTTGGATTATGCAATCAATTTTGTTTAATGTTTTAAAAAATTTATATTAGTGTTATGACTTTTTTACTTCCACTATTTTGTATCAATAGGGTTGCTCTCAGTCACTTTCACTCAATATTCAAGTGCTACAATTTTTCCAGTATACTCTTGCAGTTCAAAACCACCCTCCTGCCTCCTTTCAGCCTCACTTCTAGGACTTAAATATTCCCCTCATCCCTGAGTGACCAAAACTGATCGTGATTATAGATCTGTTAACATTGCTTAAGATCTCGTTTTATACTGTTCCTTGTCATGTCATTGTATCTTTCACTCATGGAAGACAGACGTTGAAATATTAATAATATACATGTGATCTCTTCTCTGCTACTCACATAAAAACTATGCTGTCTGAATATTCACTTTACAGTTACAAACGAAAGATAAGATCAATAACTGCGATGAACACAGCTAAAACAATTACAGGGAGTGCACTGCAGAATGGGCTTGTTGTTCCTGGTACAAACAAATATGCTTTGGAAGGGTGAGTAAAGAAAAACTTCAATAAAAATAGCTTTCACAAAGAAAAGAGGAAAATTTATATTTTATCCATAGTTCAGAAGTCACCTCTTTTTAAATAACTTACACATTTTGAATGCTGCATTTTCTGAGAGTGTACAAGTATTTGCAAGAGTAATTGTGTATGTTACTTTTATCTAATATTCTCCCTTTTTGTTCCTTCAGGACTAAATACTTGGTGGTGTTGATAGCTCAAACTCTATATCTGACCCAAATTTCTAGTTACTACTGTTAAGCAACAGGGTAATGGAGAAGTTGGTGGCTAGTGGTAAAGTCATTGGTTTGGTAATCCAAATCACCAACCCAATGCTTGGGGGCATCGTTTCAAATATACACACACTAGCTGGTAGAATTTCAAGCTTCTTAATAAAGTTGGAAATGTAAAAGCTAGTATTGGTGATTGTCATAAAAATCCATCTGGTTCACTAATGTCCTTTAGGGAGGGAATCTGCCATCATACCCTATCTCCTGCATGTGTGACTCCAGATTTGGCAAGTAAATCATCTAAAAAGCCATTCATTCCATCACTTTGCCAGTGATGCCCACACCACAAAAAAGCATACACATGTATTCATGTCAGGATTAGAGAGGAAGGTATTGAGGTAGATTTTACAATCAAGCATATATAATGATCATTGTATTATGCAACACCTAATTTTGCAGCATTTGCCTAATTTTCAAAGTGTGAGTGAAATCCCTATCCAGACCAAACTAAAAGTCACTTTATAAAAGTGCAATATTTATACTTGTATTGAGCTGTAAAGAGTTGGGACCTAATTGTTGTTATATGTAAGTGTTCCTGGGGCCACAGAATTTCTGCATGAGAATCAAGTGATGTGTAACAGGAACAGCTTACACCCAATCTTTTCAACAAATCCCCATAGCAAGTATGAAATAAAAAGAGCTTTCATCATTGCAAGCTTCAATTGTGATTATTTGAATTCTAAGTGAACTAAAAACAACAAGAGCTTGCAGTTAAAGGGATATAGCATTTGAATGATTGTGCATGATATGGGATAAAGATTGGACAAGAACAAGACAGGCTACAAGACTCTCATTATCCAATTACCTGTCAGTATTCATTAGAGATTAGGGTTATAAATAAATATTGACTTGCTTTATTTGTCTAAATTCACATGTCATATTTCATCAGTGTTTAATACAGTGTGTAAATGCCAGATGCTTGATCATGCTTTATGACATAAAGGCAATAATTTCAAACTGGATGTTGGTATTTTGTGTTAAAATGAATTATGCAATATGAACAACTCTGTAACACTTCATCAGTCATGCAAACAAATGAAAAGAATTTCATTGTGTTACCCAGTTTATTGAAAATGTAGATGTGAGTTAAAGTCGAGAAAACTGCTTTACATTTACCATTAGAAATTTTGTAAATATTCTTTAATATTTAAACTTTAACATTTAATCCCAGGAAAATTAAGAACAGGATAAAGCCTTTCAGATCCTTGACAGTTTGCTGTTTAATTAGCTTATGGCTAAACTCGCATTTCCTGCATCTGTTCCATATTCCTTAACAACCTTACTTAACAAAAATCTATTGATATCAGTCCTGAAAGCTCCAATTGTCTCATCATCAATGATCCCTTGGGAGGGAGGGTTCCAAATTTCTGCTTCAAGTTTATCCTGATACAGTTTGTCAATGGTTTATCACTAAACTTGAGATGTCATTTTACAGAGAAACATAGAAACTAGGAGTAGGGGTAGTCCATTCAGCTCTTCAGGTCTGATTCGCCATTCAAGATGATCATTGCTGATCCTTTATCTCAATGCCACATTCCCACTTTTTCTCCACACCCCATGATGCCTTTAATGTCTAATAATGTATTAAGATCTTTCTTGAATATTCTCAGTGACCCGACCTCCACAGCCCTCTGTGGCAGAGAGTTCCTTAGGTTGACAACCTTATGAGTTATTATGAGAAATGTTTCCTTATCTCAGTCCTAAATGGCCTACCCCATATTCTGAGACTGTGACTTTTGATTCTAGTGACACCAACCAGAGGGAAAATCCTTCATGCATCTAGCCTGTCTAGCCATGTTAAAATTTTGTATGCTTCAATCAGATCCTCTCTCATTCTTCTAAACTTGAGTGAATACAGCCCAAGTCAAACTAATATCTCCTCATACAACAGTCCTGCCATCTTTGGTATCAGCCTAGTGAACCTTTGCTAGACTGTCTCTATGGCAGGTATATCCTCTCTTCCGTAGGGAGACCAAAACTGTGAGTAATTATTCCAGGTATGGTCTCACCAAGGTCCTGTATAACTGCATAAAGACCTCATTGCTTCCGAACTCAAATCAAATTGTGCTTGATTCCGTCATGAGAAGAAATAGATTCTCTGTAATTACCCAATGAAATTGTTTTAACATCTTAATGTCCTAAAATCAAAGGAATACAATTCAGTTTTTGCAACCTTCCCTCATAACATAATTCTAAAATCCAGTGACAATATAGTGAATCTATGCTGCATCAGTTTCATGTCAGCTTATTGGCCAAGGAATTCAATGCCCAAGTCTTCAAACGAGTCCTCAAACTAAAAGGAATAAGTATCACAATTTTAATAAAGCTGCTGTGAGCAATTTTGCCAACAGAAGGAATTTGTGGCGGAGGAGGTGCAGTAATGTATTTGTTGATGTTTAATGGCAAAATAAAAATCTGGAAGAAATGAAGCAAATAGACTCAATTTTGTATTGCAATTCTATGCATTATTTTTTGTTCTCATTTTTCTAGTGCTAATCCAGTGTGGAATACTATTATTGACACCGCCACAGACCTTGTTTTTGAAAATAATAATTCAGACCGTGCAAGGTAAAATAGAAAATCACAGCTTTTACAATTTTTACGAAACTAAAAAGAAAACTAAACATTTAGCTGTTACTTAGCCAGGAACTAGGACATGGGCAGCATAGTTTTGAATGTGTTCAAGTTTAAGAAGGTAGAACATGCGAGGCTGGCTAACTGTGCATTGGAGAAACAAAAACAGAAATTGCTGGAAAAGTTCAGCAGGTCTGGCAACATGTGTGAAGAAAAAATCAGAGTTATGTTCTGAGTTCTGAGGATGGGTCACCAGACCTGAAACATTAACTCTGATTTTTTCTTCACAGATGCTGCCAGACCTGCTGAGCTTTTCCAGCAACTTCTGTTTTTCTTCCTGATTTACAGCATCCACAGTTCTTTTGGTTTTTGTGCATTGGAGTAGTCCAGTCTAGGTGTAACAAAAGCATTCATCAGCAGACCATGAGTTGAAAGAGGAGCAGAATGGTATGATGTTATGGACATGGATATGGACAGTCTTAGGCTTTGCTTCAATAGGTTTCTCCAACTTAATGAACCTTTTCTGCCCCACTCTACCCCCCCATCCACCGTTGTCATGTAACTTGACACTGGACTAGCCTTTGGGCTTCCTGATGATGGCAGGTTAATGTGAAATGCACCCTCCATAAGATGAAGTTCACTCTATAGCCCATGTCCTCAATCATACCAAATTCTATCCACCTAATTTTATTTTGCCATCTGAAGCTTGCAGTGATACAGTCATAAGGCACTGTCCTCAAAACGGACCAGGCATTCCGTTAAAATCAACCCACAATATACAAATGATTCCCAGAGGAGTAGAACAGTCTTTCATTTTTTCGATGCAATGCTTTATTATACAGTTATGCAGTTAAGGAGTAAAAAGGAGATTTCTTGACTCTCTTAGGATGTATAATTCTTTATCACAGTACAGTTTCATTGAACACATTCTGCAGCTTAAGATAACAATTATATGCAAATTATTGTGCAAATCTACATTTTAATACAATAAGAATTTGCGCCATGTGTCTCTGGATTTTGGATCTATATTTTATTTTCTAACATTACAGGCTGTTCCAATACCAATATCTTTGGTATTAATTTTTAGCATGTTTTTATTTGAAACAAACTGAACAAGCTGCTGAATTTAATAAGAAGTGTACATTGGAAGGAAAGCTGTGTTAATTCTTAATGCTTCAAAATTATGAACAGTCCTGTGAGATCTTGAGAGACAAGATTACCTTTTCAACTATTCAGTAAGACTGAATGTTATGTTTCCTGTAGTATTAATTCTTTGGATGAGAATATGGTCAATGCAGTGGAAGATACACATGCCAAGAAACCAAACATGTTAGAGGTAAGTTAACTATAACATCAATGCTCAAAAAGTGTTATACAAATATGTGCATGTTTGTTGTATGGAAGAGAAAAATTAAAAAATGGAAAATGAAAAAAGTGCAGATGGCCTTAAAGCCTTCCGCTACTTCCTCCACCGCAGACCCAACCGGTCCCCCTCCACCGACACCCTCATCCACTTAACAAAACTTGTCCTTATCCTTAATAACTTTTCCTTTAATTCCTCCCACTTCCTACAGACTAAGGGGGTGGCCATGGGCACCCTCATGGACCCAAGCTATGCCTGCCTCTTTGTAGGATACGCGGTACAGTCCCTTTTCCGCTGTTACACTGGCACTAATCCTCACCTCTTCCTCCACTACATTGATGGCTGTATCAGCACTGCCTCGTGCTCCCATGAGTTCATCAACCTTACTAACACCTTTCACCCCAACCTCAAATTCACCTGGACTATCTCTGATACCCCCCTCTCCTTCGTGGACCTCTCAGTCTCCATCTCTGATGACTTCATCGAAACCGACATCTATTTCAAGCCCCCCGACTCCCACAGCTACCTAGACTACACCACATCTCACCCACCCTCCTGCAAGAATGAAATTCCCTACTCCTAATTCCTTCGTCTCCACCGCGTCTGATCCCGAGATGGGGCGTTCCTCTCTCGCATATCCCAGATATCCTCTTATTTCAAGGATCGTACGTTACCCCCTCCGGTGATTGAAAATGGCCTCAACCGCATCTCACATGTTTCCTGCACTTCTGCCCTCACATCCCCTCCCCCCAACAAAAATAAAGACAGAATCCCCCTTGCCCTCACATATCACCCCACCAACCTCCGCATCCAACGTGATATTCTCCATCACTTCTGCCACCTATAATCCGATCCCACAACCAAAGAGATATTTCCCTCGCCACCCCTATCTGCCTTTCGTAGGGACCTCTCTCTCCGCGACTCTCTTGTCTGCTCCACAATCCCCACTAACCCCACCACACCAGGTAGTTTTCCCCGCAACAGCAGGAAGTGCTACACCTGCCCCTACACCTCCCCCCTCATCTCCATCCAAGGCACAAAACAAACCTTCTACATTAGACAGGGGTTCACCTGCACATCCTTCAACTTGGTCTACTACATCTGCTGCTCCCGATGTGGCCTCCTCTACATCGGTGAGACCAAGCGTAGACTTGGAAACAATTTTGTACAGCATCTGCGCTCTGCACGTGACAAATGACAACATTTTCCAGTCGCCAACCATTTTAACTTCCCCTCCCACTCTCTGGATGACATGTCCATCCTGGGCATCCTCCAGTGTCACAATGGCGCCACCTGCAAACTGGAGGAGCAACACCTCATATTCCGCCTTGGGAGCCTACAGCCCAATGGCCTAAACATGGAATTCACCAGTTTTAAAATCTCCCCACCCCTGGCCTCATCCTATGTCCAACCCTCCCTCTCTTTTCCAACTCCTTGACCTGATGATCTTGCCTTATCTTTGTCTGTTATACCCCTTAGGTGCCATTTTAAAGGTTTCCTGTGATTAATTCTGCTTCACAGAGATGACAATCTTCAATCTGCAATGACCAATGACATAATCAAGGTTGCTTGTGACCAGGTTTTTCTTCCTCCTCATGGTTGGAAATTGCATGCATTTCACATGCACAATTACATTCACATGTTCGATTGCAGATGTCTTCAACATATACTATGCAAATGCCTGATAGATGTAATTGCTCCTTGAAGGGTCTTATGTTGTTCAGAAGTGAAGTTCAGGTTTTGAGATAGAAACAAAAGCACTGACTCTGCCCATTCCAGATTTGGTTGCAGCCTTCTTCCAGTTGTAGTTGGCATTTAGGAGCTGATTAAACATGGAAGGCAATGCAGGTCATATTTAGCACAGTGAGTCTCAGGTTCAGTCTGATAATCAAGGACCCTCCCTGAGCCTCCATGTCCCTTTCTTCCTGATAGTCCCTGGACAGTCCATCACTACCGATCCAGTAAATGTTCCCATATACCATCTTTCAGCTCTCATCATTACCATCTGAGCCCTGCCCTTACAGTTTAGTCATACACATAAAGTGCTGCACAGTCACCCTGTTGAAGCCTTGGTGGTTGTGACCGGCAAAAACCAGGCGCCCACAGTATTTTATGTCCTTCCCTTCGCTATCATCTCCTCCCCATTCTATATGGAATTTCTCTCTTCCATCACCCTTGTGTCTATGCATCCAGATTTGCTGATGTCAATTCTTAGCATTGAGTTCTCACACTTCTCAACCAAGCAGTATCCCCTGATAACTTTCAGGCTCACCATGGCTTGACTGACTTTGATGGACATCCCTGACTGATAACTGACCAGAGCCCTGACTGATCTCTGTGGAGCTCCCCTGAATGACTTCCTGAGAATTCCCTGATTGTTTGTACTTGTTCAGCAAGAGTGACTGTGGTGCACTTCTCAGACTGTAGAGGGATGAACCTCCTGACCCTGATCATCCAAAGTAGCTGACTGTGTTCATGTCCCTTGACAGAGATTGGATGATACCCTTGACAATAAACTATGACCCCCTGACTGACAGCAGCCTCATTTGATTTGACTGAGGACTACTCCTCTGAGACTTTGAGACATGGCCATTTGGTTAATATACATGCAGTGGGCTGCTGGTGCATGCGAAAGCTGTGAGACTGACATAGCATGTTACTGTACAGCAACAACTCAATCCTCTTGTCTAATGACTGTTGACAGACATGACAAGCTGCCTATGCTAAGCAGCATGCCCAGATAAGGGGGCAAAGCAAGGTAGGGATGCTGTGAGCAGGCACAAATGAATGAGAACAAAGAAAGCACATGAGCAGACCAGAAATTCAGCTTATTTTAATCCTTGAGGTGGGTACCTGTCCCTGTACCCAGTGTCCTTGTAGCCATATTCCAATGAAAGGTGTTGGTGTGCTTCAAAGGGCAACATTGAATTGCAGAACCATACTGTAAGTGGATTGGAGATGTGCCATGATGAAATGAGAGGTTAATGTGTATTTGATACTGATGTCCGTGAATATGATCGATGGTGTTCACAGCCCGTGGAATGTACCCTGAGATGTTGGTGCCTGCTGTCCAAATGGGGGTCCAGAGGAGCAAGTGGCAAACTGGAATAATCAGGCAATGGCTTTGACTTTCACGTTGGGAATTGTCACCATCTATTTCCTATCTGGCAGTGGGACACTGGACATTGTATATTAATGAGGCGAGATTCGGTACTAAACTTGTTCCACTGTTAAACACTTAGTTGGAAGTGGGACTTTTGCTCTAAATGTTGAGAAGCTTCTCATTAGCCTAATGAAAGGTAATACAGTTAGTCCGAGGAATCTTACTTTCCTGACTTACAGGTGGCCCACTGTAACTGTGGAGGCTGATCATGAGGTGTCTGGACAGAGGAGATGTGGAGAAGCTATTCCCACACATGGAAGTATTCAAGACCAAGAGGGCACAGATATAAAGTAATTGTTAAACGAAGCAAAAGAAGAAAAACATTTTCACACAACAAATTATTGGAGTCTGAAATGCATTACCTGAGAGAGTGGTGGAAGCAGGTTCGATTGAAACATTCAAGGGGATTGAGCTGTTATCTAAAAAAGGGAGAATGTGCAGTGTTATGGGGACAAGGTGGGAAGATGACACTAAGTGGATTGCTTTGTCATAGAGATGGGCTGAATAGCCATACCTGAAGTTGTAAAGATTCTGTAATGCCAGTTGAAATGAGGTCTGCTAGGTTTCAAAAGTGTGCACCAAGTCCCACTGGAGGCATCCGGGTAAGATAAGTAGCCAAGACCAGAAAGAACATGAATGGCTTTAAAAATATTTTGGAGTGCTACCCATAACCCCCCAGCCCACTTTCTGAAGGCAACATGACATGAATAATTCAAGTGGCCTTGCTTAGTATACCATGCATACTGTGAACAATTGAAAAAGATGAGTTACATAGCAAAAAAAACTGTGACAAAGATACAGCATATTACACAAAGGCTAATAATTAATAAAATGGATGGAGCATTGAAGATTTTTCTTTTAGCCAGCTAACAAAATCGTAAAGATTGCATCTTTTTCGCTAGCTTCTTGGTTTAAATATGTACATTTTCTTTCTTGCATAAGATGACTGAGAAAACAGTTGACAGTTATTTGACTGACGCAAAGGCCAAACCTCTCAGAGCTGCACTGGTTGACCATGACAACAATAAAGAAAACGCATCAGGGGCAACTGGAAATGGATTTCACATTTCTCAAATGAACAACATTGATATCTGAGCATTACATCAGATGCCTTTGACTATTCTAAATTTCTAAGTTTAAAAATCTGCATTTAAAATCTTTAATGTAAGCAAAATGGAATCTGTTAATAATATTTAGCTTGTGTCTTTTTTGCCTGGTAACCACTTTCTCAACATAAGGTGCTCATGTGAAGATTTATTTGCGTTTGATTTTGTTTGCTGGCCATCATATTTTAAAACGAATGTAGCATGTTTTAACATCATATTTTATTTAACACTGTTTATTACCCAATTGACAGCAATGATGAAAACTGTGCATTGTTTAGGTATGAAAGGAACAATGTTCCATACATGAGATCTGTTAACAGTAACATGGCCAGTAATGGAATGATGCTAATGGTATTCTGGAAAATTAAATGCCTCTAAAAAAATCTTAATCATCCATCCATTTCCTAGTTAGAAAGATCCTTCAAAGAATTTTCCTGCAGTGTATTCTATTTAACCATCTATCTGGTATATATATATTTATCAAAGAGCTAAATTGATTTAATAAGGATATATTTATGGAAACATATAAATTTACAAAATGTTCAATGTTTTAATGTCCTTTTTGCATCAGTGCAGGTTGATTTGAATGAAAAGTGGTAACCTCAAAGAAAAGCAATGAGAAAAATTGAATAATTACTTGAGGCGTTAGAAGTTATGTGGAACTTGCTAATTGCTGAATAAGGGTTACCTGGTAAGAGGAATAAGAGATGGGCTGAAGTGTGGGTAAGTTGGTACATTTGTCCTTCAGAAAAAATTATACTTTGGTAAAGAGGGAGCTAACATGACAGGGGAACAGTTTCTTGGCATTGAGAAATACTTATTCTCATTTGTAGCTATTACGAGGGGACATAGTTTTAAAGTGAGTGGAGGTAGATACAGGGGAGACGTCAGAGGTAGGTTCTTTACTCAGAGAGTGGTCGGGGCGTGGAATGTATTGCCGGAGAGGGTAGTGGAGTTGGCCTCATTAGGGACATTTAAGCGGCTATTAGGTAGACATATGGATGATAGCATAAGGTAGCTTTGGAGGTTAGGTAGACCTTAAGATTAGGGTAAAAGTTTGGCACAACATCGTGGGCTGAAGGGCCTGTACTGTGCTGTACTGTTCTATGTTCTATGTTCATTACTATGTTTGCACATTATTTCATTGATACCGAAACCAACTCAAAAATGGTAGATAAGCAGAATATTTGAAATGATAGGACATCAACACTATATCATTAGGAAGGTTGTGTAAACTGACAATTGAATCTGAAATGAAAAGGAATCCAGCAGACAGCCAAGAAACTGATCTGAGAGATTTGAAAACCTATTATTTCTACAGAAGAGCAAAAATTTCAAGTTGTTTTGCTAAAAGAAATCAGTTGGAACATATTTGCAAGTAGTTTTAGTTGTGAAGCTGTTAAATGTAGCAAAAATGTTTGTCATAAGTGATGTAATGCAAAACATATGCTTTTAAATGAAAACTGTGTAAAAATAATTGTGTGTATCGTCTCCAAAAAAAATCATTTCGTAGTGTTATGTCACTTGAAAATTTGATGTTATGTTTATGATTATGTGAATTGTTCATAAACTATAGTAAATCACTTTCTGTTTGCTTATCAATGGTTTTAATTTTTCAGCTTCTAATTCACTGCAATGAGTCTAATGAACAGCAGTAAAACATCAGGATTGATCATGATAATGTTTGGTGGAGGGGTTGAAGCTGGTGGCATTATCCATTCTAACATTGTTGTTATCTATTGGACATATACCAATGGTTGGAGTGAACACAGTAATTTGCAGGTCACTGTGATTGACATGAAATGTGTGTGTTCCAGGCAGGTATGAAGTGCAGCCAGTGGATGTATGGCTAGCAACTCCAGAAAATTGCAGTTTTCATGTAGACTTTAAAGATTGTAAGTCCTGGTGGAGGTGGTATAACAGAGGAAGGATACCACCAGGACCTCCAGAGCAGGGAGGATGAAAGCCTCAATCTTAATTTTCATTGATGCGCAGATATGGAAGGAGATTGCCAAGGAGGTCACAGGCAGGACCCTGTGGCCCCACACCCACTTCACAGCATGGCTCCAGTGTTGTAAAAAGAATCATTCATTTCACCCGAATGGTCACGGCAAGTTCTTTTTCACAAACACAATTCTGAACCATATCTTTACCAGTATCCCAACCTCAAGACACAGCATTCCCATTTAACTATAAACTGACACAGATCCCAAACAACTGCATTCTTCATAGGCCATACACACCACCACCATCACTACCACTACCACTACCACTACCACTAAAAGTGAGCTAACTGGGTATTGCAACTCAAGACAACACCTTGGCCAACTCATGGACTTTATAGTACCAACAGTCATCTAAGTTATGTTTTATTCTTTTCTGTTCTTCGTTCAAATGTGCTCTCTTACTTCATTGGTTCTAAATCACTTGATTTTAAGTTTGGATTTCCATTCTCTTCCAGGTTTACTTAGATTTGTTTTAGCATTCAGTGCATAGCAAATGTTTGCTTCTCTATTTACAGACTTTCCTTCAGTTGTGCAGATGAGTTGAAGTATTCTATGTACTGTTCTGGGTGATTTATATTGCTTTACTTTGTTCCTATCCATCCATTACAATAAAAAGAAGAGATTTTGCTTCACTTCTGCGCATTGGCTTCCATTCCTTGTCTCTACTTCTGAATATCTCACTTCGCTACCTTATCACATAATTCTAATTAGTCTATCTCAAGTTTCTGATTTACAGTCCATTTGAAGTATCCCCTCATCTGCAGTATTTAGGAGGAAAAATTAGTCAAACGACAGAGGTCATGATGTGCAATTAACCTGCATCAGCTTCTGTTGATGCAAGCAGCCTGAAAACTTTGTGCTTCCTCCTCATTGAACTGATTTCAGCATACAGCCCATTGAGGAAAGAACTGCTAACAGGGATCCAATAATGCGTGTATAACCAGCATGCTTTTCAGGTCTCTCAGGTTTTCGCTGGAGGGTTAGTCCTGGAGGTGAAAGGGAGGAGAGATGCATTGTTTCCAGAGGGAATCAGGAGGCCTTCAAAGCAAATCTGACAAGAGAATAAAAGTAGGTGGCCACAGAGTGCAATTTCCTAAATCATGCCCCAATGACCTGGCAGCAAAAAAGACTTAAATGACTCCACTTGAGTAGTCAAGATATTAAAAGCAACTGCGCTTGATATCTCTTTTTTGTTGCCTTACCAACTTGCTCAATGCATCTCACCCTTATCACTAACCAAGCATCAGTTTCAAGCAATCAGGACTCATGCCTAATATTCCTGATAATCCACCACATTCTCACATGTTGCCAGTGTCATACATAGCTCTTATTGCTTTCAAATGTCAGTGGTTATTCAACTATGGCTGTATACTAGCACACATACTGCCATTATTTCCCATCTCCATAAGGCCATAAGCTGTAAGACTATAACAAATAGGGTAGGCTGTTAGGCCTTTCGAACATGTTTCACCGTTCACTAGGATTATGGTTGATCCTATATTCCTGACGTCCACTTTGCTGCATTTCCCCAGTAACCCTTGGTTCTCCTGAGGTGATGGTAAAGAAGAAGTGATAGCATAGTGGTTTTGTTCTGGACTGGTAATCCAGAGAGCCAGATAAAGCTCTGTGTTCACATACCACCATGGCAGATGCTGAAATTTGAATTTAAAGAAAAATATAAAATTAAAAGTCAAATGATAACTTTTAAACCCTTGTGGTTGTCATAAAAAAATCCATGTGGTTCACTAATGTCTTTATGGGAAGAAAATTTACCATCCTTGTCCAGCCAACATATGTCTCTAGACCCACAGCAATATATTTGACTCTTAAGTACCCAATGAAGATTAATGTCAAGTATGTACTTCCCTCATATTGGTTCATTCACTATCTGCCAGTCTGAAGTGGCCTAGCAAGACATTCATTTGTATCATGCCAGTGGAAAATCTCAAAAAGGGAATGAAACAAGATACTTTGTGAATCTAGGTACCGGAAACAACATTGGCAAACTCAGCCCTGTCAATTCTGCAAAGCCATCCTTACCAACATATGGGAGCTAGTACCAAAATTGGGAGCGCTATGTCACAGGCTAGTCAAGCAACACCCTGACATAGCCATACTCACAGACTCGTACCATACACAAAATGTCCCAGTCAACACCATCACCATTCCTCAGTGGAAGGATTGACACAGCAGTGGTATACAGTGAAGAGGAAGTTGCCCTAGGAGTCCTCAGCACTGATTCTGAACCACATGATGTAGCATAATGGCATCAGGTCAAACAAAGAAAAGGACACTTCCTATTCATTGTCGCCACTGCCTCAACCACTTCAGCTATGAATTGATACTCCTTCATGTTGAATACCACTTGAAGGAAACACCGAAAGTGGTAAAGGTGCAGAATGTACCCTGGATGGGGTAGTTCTGCATCTATTGGTTTGGCATTACCATTACTGATGGAGCTGGTGAAGATTTAAAGGGCATTGTTGCCAGATGGTAGGTAGTGAATGAACAAACAAAGTTGCTGAAAAACCTCAGCAGGTCTGACAGCATCCGTGAAAGAAAAAACAGAGTTAACGTTTCGGGTCTAATGACCCTTCCTCAGAACTGATGATGGCTGGGAAAATGTCAGTTTATATGCAGTAAAAAGGGAGGGGGATTGGGTAGGGAGTAAATGATAGGATAGAGCCTAAAGAGAGAGAAGAGCAGTTGGACAGACAAAGAGTTGATAACGACCAGGCTGGGAGGGTGAGAGTTGTTAATGGGGACAATTAGTGACTAATAATAGGTGGTGTGTAATGGCAGGCTATGTGGTAAGAAGGCCGAGTGTGTGGGTTAGAGGGCTGGGACATGGGAGAGTTTAGGCCCTAAAATTATTTAACTCGGTATTGAGTTCGGAGGACTGCAGGGTCCCCAAGCAGAAAATGAGGTGCTTTTCTTCCAGTTTGCGTTGAGCTTCACTGAAACACTGCAGCAAGCCAGAGACAGAGATGTTGGCCAGGAAACAGGGTGGTGTGTTGAAGTGGCAGGCAACAGACAATCAAAGACAATGTTCCTTCCTCACACTGAAGACACCGTCCATTGTGTTGTGGAGCAACATCACTATGCTAAATGGAGTATATTTCAAATAGACCTAGCAACTCAAGATTGATAAGGCCTCATGGCCCATCAATAGCATCCGAAATATAATCCAATACAATATGCAATCTCTGGGTCCAGTATATCCATCACTCTAGCATTACCATCAAGCCAGGGCTCAACCCTGGAGATTGCAGGAGGACATGCGAAGAGCAGCACCGGGCATACCTAAAAATGATGTGTTGACCTGATGCATCCAAAGCACAGGACTGTATAAATGCCAGTCAGCAAGTGATAGACAGGGTTAAATAACCCCAAATCAAGCATATCAAATCCAAGGTCTGCAGTCCTGCCACATCCAGTAGTAGTAGATAATTAAGTAACTCACTGGAGGAGGAGGCTCCCACAAATATCTCCATCCGTAATGATAGAGAAACCCAGCACATCAGCGCAAAAGGTAAAGCTGAAACATTTGCAAAAAATGTCAGCTGAATGTGCTGAGTGGATGATTCACCTCGGCCTCCTTCGGATGTTCACAGCATCACAGATGCCAGACTTCAGCCAATTTGATTCACAACTTGTGTAATAAGAAATAGTTGAAGAAACTGCAAACTGCGAAGGCAATGGGCCCTGAAAATGTTCGAATAATAGTAACTGAAGAATTTGCCACATTGCCAAGTTGTTCCAGTATGGCTACAATACTAGCATCTACCTGACAATGTGGAAAATTGTTGAGTATTCCCTGTACTCAAAATACAGGACAAATTCAACCTGGCCAGTTTCCACCCCATCAGTCTACTCTTGAGGAAGGGTCACCAGATCCAAAATGTTAGCTCTGT